GCTGCCGTCAAGCGGCGCGCGGCTGTCGCGGCTCCGCGGGCGCTCGGCGGCGTCGCGTGAAGGGCACGGGCCGCGGCAGCGGAGCGGCCGCCATGCCCTTCTGGGACCTGCAGCGGCAGCTGGGCATCGACGTGGACCGCTGGCTGCTGCGGCAGAGCACGGCGCAGCCCTACGGCTCGGCCGCCGCCTGCCACGCGTTCGAGCGCGAGTGGGTGGCGTGCGGGCACGGGCTGGGCCGCACGCGCGCGGCCCGCGAGTGCGCCATCGAGTACGAGGATTTCCTCGAGTGTATGCACCGCACCAAGATGGTGAGACCCGGCCCGCCGCGGGGGCCCCGTCCCCGTCCTGGGCCCTCCCCTCCCTGTTCTGGGGCCCCCGTCCCCGCCGTGGGGGCCCCTGTCCCCATCCTGGGGTCCCCGTCCCCGCCGTGGGGGTCCCTGCCCCACCATGGAGCTCGCTACCTCGTCATGGGCCCACCCATCCTGGTGATGAGGCCTCCATCCCATCATGCCCTCCCCATTCCCCTCATCCCTGTCGTGGGCCCCCCCTTCCCGTTATGGGGTGCCCGTCCCCAATATGAGCCTCTGCTCCCCCCTGTAGAGCCCTCGTCTCCGTTGTCGGGTACCCATGTGCACTGTAAGCCCCTGTCCTCCTATTTCCACCCCGCCTTCATTATGGACCTGCTCTTATAGGACGCCCTGTTATGGGGCACCCTTCTACAGGGCCCCTCTCCTATTGATGGCCCCCTCCCTGTTACAGGGCGCACCCCCTCCCCTGTTTTGAGACCCTCTCCCATTATAGACCCCCCCACCACCACCATTATAGGACCCCCATCCAAGCCCCCCCATCCCTGCAGTGTCCCCGCTCAGGCCTCTCTGTCCCCGCAGGCCGCCCGGCTCAAAGCGATCCTGGAGCAGCGCAACAAGCTCATGCGGGAGGGCCGCTACTCGCCGCCCGAGCACCACCAGGGCAAGGAGGAGCCGCGGCCCTGACCGCCCCGCGCGCGGCCGCCCGGCACGGCCAGCGCCCCGGCCCCCGCCGCCACCGCTGTCGTTTCCGCCAGTAAACGCCGCTCTCGGCCGCCCCTTGCCTCTCTCGAGTGGTTTTGTTCCCAGTAAGACGTGGCTTAAGCTCCTCCGTGGGTGTCGGCGCTGCCCGCAAGCGCTGCCCCGATGTGAGGTTGGCGCTCAGAGCTCCCCAGCGCCAGCGGCTGCCGTTGGAATGAGAGGAACCCCCCAGGAGCAACAGCTGCTCTTGAAAACCCCTCCCGACCGTGCCCAGGGTGGCCCTGCGGCTGCGCCAGGCTGGTTCCCAGGACCATTCCAGGTGGGGAGGTTGGTGCATGGGGGGAAAACCTGCAGAAAACAACTCCCTTTCCTGGAGATCTGCGGAAAGAGTTAACAAGTGGCCTCTTTGTGCCCTTTCTGTTTGGAGAGAGGTGAGCAGCCTTTGCTGGTAGCTGCACGACTTTGTTTTTTAAATCCTGTGCATCAGCGCAATCCATTGAGCTGTGCGTGCTGGCCCTGCTGCCAGCGCCCGTCCCTCCGGAGCCGCCACCGGCTGCTCGCTGTCCCGGGGACCCCGGGCCCTGCGCGGCCGGTGCCACTTTGTCACAGGTACCACCTGGCAGCGGAGATGGGAAATGGCCACAGCTTAATCCAGGATATTAATATGGGTGATGGCGGGGTTAGGGCCTGATCTTTGGTGCAGGTGGAGCCCAGAAGGTTCGTCAGCCTCGCAGATCCCCTGCGCTGGGGTCACGAGAGGTGGGGAGAGCAGCTCCCTGCGGCCCGTCACGGAGCCGGGAGGTGACGGCGGCGGCTGGCGCTCCTGAGGGCAGATTTACCGCACGGCACTTACCGTGACCCGCTGGGCGCTCGGCGTCCGTCTCTGCCTCTGCAGAGCTGGAAGGAGGCTCCTCTCTTGGGAGGACCGGGCTGGAGTCCTGCTGTGTGAAAACGCAGCACCCGCCATTGCCTGGGCTGCGCAAGGGTGCACATGGACGGAGCAGAGCCCCGAACACGGCGGCTTGGCCACGGTTCCACGACATCCCTCCCCAGCACATGGATCCCTCCTGGAGACAGGAATGGTCTTGCAAACAGCCCAGACTCAGTGCCCGAGTTTCTCCTCCTCAGGGTTTCCACTCCAGCTCAGGGATTTTTCCTTCCTGCTCCTCTTGTTGGAAGAAAAGCTGGAGCTGGAGCCGGGCACCAGAGCGAGCCCAGCCCGGCAGCTGGATCGATGCGGAGCCGAAGGTGCCCACACTTTACGCAACGCTCCCGCAAGCCGCAGGGAGCTTCTTTGGTGATTGCTTTATTTTTAATACGACAGCTGTGCATGAGAGATTAATTTGGATGGGAAACCTGACGTAAGAACGCAGCTCGGGATATAAAAGCAGGTGAGGGGAAGCTCCCTGTGTGGAGAGTGGGAAGAGCCGCATGCAGATGTGGAAGCTTCCCGGTGGGAAGCCTGCGAGTCCCTTGGTGGGAGCAGAGGCATTAATGGGAGGGAGACCAGGGTGTCCCGGGATGCCCAAGGAGCGTTGTGTGACCCACCTGGCGCTGCCTTTGGCTTCCGTGCGGTATTGAATTGTAGGGAGCAGAGCCGGCACAACAGCCTTTAAACCTTGAGAAGCGGCCCTGTGTCCTTGTCATTAGCATTGCTCCTTGGGGATGCAGCGAAAAGCTCCCCAGGGAGCAGGTGGGTCTGCAAGGAGGGGAAATGCCAAAATCCCGGAGCCGCTGCGGGCGTCGGGGCCTCTCGTCCCCTCCCGCCAGCCAGGATGGTGCAGGAGATGCCGAACCGCGGCTCCGCTCCCGCTTCCCGAGCGGCTCTTTGGGTCGATCCCACAGCTAATTGCTGTGGCCATAGCTGCTAACGCAGCCCGGGGCCAGGGGCGCAGTCGCCGCTCTGCCCCAATTAGCAGCTTTATTAGCAGCCGCAGCAGGACGGGGGCAAACAAGGACCGCGCTGGGAGGGACGCGAAGCCCCCAGGACCTCGATCGGCGACGGCATCGAGGGCTCTGCCGGCGGGAGGGAGCCCGAGCGTCGCCCTGTGATTCACAGCCCAGCCCTGCATTTATTTCCAGCCTGTAGTAGATATAAATTTAAACTTCACAGATTTTTTTTTTTTTCATCTTCCTTGTCGCTGTTTTTGGCTGCGGGCGCTAGAAGCGAAGCAGCGTCACAGGAGGCGCCACCACTGCCTCTCCCCTATTCCCCATGGATCCTGGTGGCCGGGGAAGGACGCAGGGGTCTCAGCTCCTGCCATGGTCGGAGAGTCCGGAGCTCCCCAGCCCCGTCTGTGGGTCACAGCCCAGGGGTGCTCCGGGATTTGTTGGGAAGGGGCTGGGAGACACAGAGGCAGAACCAGCTGCAGCCCTTGATGCTCCAGGAGCTCCCGGCAGCTCCGTCTCGAGGAAGCAAACAAGCAACTCGCCGGGATGAATAATGGATGGGGAGCCAGCGGGAGGCAGGTTTGATCACCGGGCTCCAGTGACGGGTGTGACGAGAGGGGGCAGAGCCCGCGTGCGGGGGACACCGCGACGCCCTCCCCGTGCGGGACCCGCTCGCAGCCTCCCCCTTCATCCTGCAGCAGCCGCTGCAAAACAACGCGGGCGCCTAACCCAGATTCACGGCACAAACACGGGCGAGCGGGGAGGGAGTTTGGGGCGGGCGCCCGGGGCGGGAGGGCGGCACGGGCTGGGATGGGTCCCGCTCCCGGGCCGGCTTCCCACCCGGCTGGGTCTGCCCGGACCCCGGGTCTGCTCCAGGCCCAGGATCTCAGCCAGATACCGCTCAGGTTTGCAGCAACGTGGGGCGGGACAAACCCGTCTGGGCGCCGCGGGGACCGGTATGGGCGGCGCAGCCGGATCCCCCGGGTTTTCCGCCCCTGGAGCGCACGGCGGAGGCCGGGATGGCTCCAGCAGGCACCAGGCACATGTGTCCCCATTGCTGCCTCCTGCCTTTATGGGTCCCATTGGGATGAAGGAACCAGATGGGAAAGGCGGGGAAGCAGTGCCTGGCACGCGGGCAGCACTGGGTGCTGCCAACGCTGCCCAGTTTGCACCAGCACGACCGTTGCTCCGGGGCACTGGGACAGCACCACAGCTGGGGCAGTGGGAGCATCATCAGCGGGACACGCGGTGACCCCGCCACGAAGCTGCTCAGGGAGAGAATCCCTGACTGGCAGTGGCTCCCGCAGGACTTTGGCACCAGAGTGTTCCCGGGGCCTCTCCAAACCACCACGAGTGTCCCCCATTCAGCCCTGGTCCCCTGCTCTGTGGCCAGCCCGGCTGCTGGGGCCAGTCAATGGGACCACCGTCACGCTGGGCCCAGGGGCTGCGGAGCACGAGGCAGGGCGCTGTTGAGGGGCTGAGGAGTTGTGGGGGGCTCGGGGGTGTATAGGGATGTCCTGGGTGCAGGGGGAGTCCCGGAGGGGTCTTTGGGGAGGGGGTGCGCAGCGTTGGATGTGTTTTGGGGCGCGGGGTGGGGCTGAGGACCCCGTGCTGGGTTGGGGGGTGCAGGAGCCGCGAGCGGCGGGG